ATGGGTGTTCGGATTTATATGTCACTTAGTATATTTTGACGCTTTCAACTGTGGGATACATCATTAAGTCATTTCCGTAAAAAAGAAACTAGCAATTGCTGAAACATTGTACAATATCATTTATATCGATTAAGACGAATAGTGGACCTAGGTGGCGATCCTGAGGAATTCCCGATGATGGAGTAGCGACTCTGGATTTACATCCGTTTATACACACGAAGAATTCTCTATCGCGCAAATAAGATGGAACCCTCTTTACAAGAGAGCTACGAACACCAACCTCAGCAAGTTTTGATGATAGCAAATTAACTCGGTCAAAAGCCTTGCTGAAGTCGGTATAAATAGCGACTTGTAAATTTCTGTCCAAAACATCGGAAACGAAGTCAGGAAAACAACGCAAATTGGAATCCAGGCACCTTTTCGGAAAAAATCGATGCTGTTGCTGAATGATTACGATTTTTTTAGATGAAAAAAATTAGCTTTTCGAACATACAGCAGACGCTCGATAATGTAAACACGGGATAATGAAAACTTGCGCTAATGTAAACACAAACTTCGTTCTATAGGATCAAACGGAACGCGCGATAACGTAAACAACTCTCGGTGCACGGAAACAGCGCGACGGTAAAATGCTGAAGCCTCGATGATTTATGTCGGGCGTCGGAGAGTCCCCGATTTATGATGTAGAGTGTAGGGGATTCACCTCTGCGATAAAATACGACAAACTCGGTCAGTCGTATGATCGTTTAGGGTACGTTTATACGTACGTATGTATTTCATTTTTGAACTTAAGTGAATACATTGCACGCGTTAATATATTTTACGACTATGGCATCCACATCCTATAAAAGAAAGTGTTTAAAGTTGAGTGAGAAAGTGAAAATCATAGACGAAGTTGCACTAGGTGCGGGAGTGACACAGTTAGCAAAAAAATATGGAGTATCGAAAGCAACAATCTGTAAAATTAAGCGTATGAAAACTCAAATTTTACAAAGAACGTGCAATACATTTGGAGGTCCGGGAAAAAGAAAAACTTAAAAAATGCGAAGGCACCTAAAATGGAAAATTCCCTGTATAAGTGGTTTTTAAAATAACGGGAAAATCATGTCCCAGTAAGTGGCGAAGTACTTAAACAGAGAGCGAGTCTGTTAAATGATAAACTGAAAGAAACTGAAAATTTCGTAGCTAGTGATGGCTGGCTACAAGGATTCAAAACAAGATATGGAATTCGACTGCTGTCTATATCTGGTGAAAAATTATCAGCACAACCACAATTAGTGCAACCATTCAGAGAAATATTGATGAAAACAATTACCGAGCTAGATTTAAGAATGGAACAAATTTACAACGCAGATGAAATATATATAATAAATATATAAAATATGCTGCATCATTTGAAAAATATGCCCCGGGCAGAAAGCCGGAGAAACAACGAATAACGTTTCTAGCCTGCACTAATGCTAATTGTTCACACAAAATAAAGCCACTGGTAATTGGGAAAGCAAAAAATCCGCGCTCATTTAAAATGTTAATATCCCTGTTGATTATGACTGTTCAAAAACCGCTTGGATGACTAGCAGTATATTCCTGAAATGGTTCCACAGGTGCTTTGTCCCTCAGGTATGACAATCAATTATCACAAATGCTCTATTCATAATTTGAAGATGTGTTTTCAATTTGTAAGTAAAAGGTTTCCTAAAACAACAGAAGCTTCCAATAAAAGCGTTGTTACTATTGGATAATGCACCAAGTCCTCCTCCCGAGCAACACTGAGGAGCAGGGATGGGTCAATTTTCGTCATGTACATACATGCCGCCCAACGTAACAGCGTTAATTCAACCGATGGACCAGAATATAATAAGACTCACCAAACTATACTATAGGAAGTTTCTACTTTCGTCTGTCTTATCAAAGAACCCTGAAAACTTATCTGAGGCTTTAAAAAAGTAACATTACGAGAAGCTGTTTTAGATTTACATATGGCCTGGAATGAACTTAACCAGCAAACTATTCAAAAATGTTGGAACAATCTCTTTTGTACCAATAATGAAGATGATGTCCCCTTAAGCGTAATTAGAGAACGTTTGCAATCCAATAATGACAATGTTATTAGTGTGTCATTGGATGTTGTTGATTTATTGAAAACAGCGAATCCCAACATTGTTTGTACTCCTGCTGATATTAATTTATGGAACGAAGATAAGCAGACGAATGATGCTGATAAGGAGGAGGATATGGACAGTGAGGATGATGAGAACGATCCCATTGAAGTCAGAAGTGTAGTGACTGACGCGCAAGCTATACAAGTTTTTAACCAAGCTTTAGATTGGGCTGAAAGAAAAGAAGTTTCATACACGGATATTTTAGTTCTTCGTAAATTACGGGCGCAGGCATTGGAAGACAATGCTAAGCGCAAATTTACGCAGACAAAAATTGTTAATTATTTTTCTTCTAATTAAAAAAATACTTATCGCTGTTAGAATATTTGTTTATTTTGTTATAAATAGTATGTATTAAACGTTTCTTTTAATAAATCAAATATTATATAAATCACGTTCGCTAATGTAAACATTTCGATAATGTGAACCACACTTGGATTAAATTAGTTTACATTATCGAGCGTCTGCTGTAATTGAGAATATGTGCAGCTTGCAATTGTCTGCCACTTTTAAAAATAGGTGTAACAGAGGATTTCTTCCAAGCACCGGGTAATGTGTTAAATTCTAAAGAGATGTAACAAATTAACGTAAGAGGTTTGTATAAATTCATTTTACATTTCTTGATGAATATTGGTGAGAAATTGTCAATTCCAGCAGATTTGTTGATATCCAAAGTGTCGATAATTTCAAGTACTTGCTTTACACGGATTGTTTTTGAACGTTTGGGTATGCCTTCGTTCAAAGGCCTTTCGGAAATATTATTTGTGGAAAAAACGCTACTGAAGTACTCGATAAACAAATTACAAATTTCGATTAGCTCATTATCACTTTTGTTCTTGTATGCTATTTCAGGGGATGATTGTATCTGAATTTTTACTATTTGCTATAAACGTCCAAAACTTCTTCGAATCACCTTCAATTTCATTTTCTACATTTGTACGTAATTTTCTTTGGCAATCAACTGTAAACGTTATGGTAGTCATTATTGAAATGGGGGGTCACAACAAGTCAAAAAGTTCATATTGATCCATGGTCCAAAACTCAATAGATCTTTGTCTAAATGACTTTATAGTTTACAACTTTAAGTACTTTATATCGACCACAATCACCACAATCTTACTAATTCGTATAATCTAATCTAAACGTTTTTTAAATTGGGTAATTAACAAATAAATGGCAGTTTTTCTAAGCCAAAATTTGTTGTCAGTAAGTAAGTTTCATTAAATTAAATATTTAAAACACACATGACAACAGCGCGTCGGTCTTTTATCACTCTTATCGAACCGGCAATCGGTCGCAAACGGTAGCACTGGTTTTGCATAGATAAATTACTTTATCGTTTCGTCGAGCAGAGCAACGGGCGTGTTGTTTTGTTTTTGTTCGCGTACGTCGTCGTGTTTATTTACAATGTTCTCGAATCAAGAGTTCGCCGATATGTTGTTAGTTTACGATGAAGCTCGTCAGAATTCAAATCTTGCAGCTCAAATTTATTGCGACAGATTTCGCCAATGGGTACACCCAGACAGAAGGACATTTGTGCAAGTGTACCAAAGAATTCGAGATACAGGTTCAGCCCACTAATATTCGTACTCGTGAAAGATAGGTTACTGTAGAGCAGGAGGAACAAATTTTAAATATCGTGGAAATCAATGCAGATATCAGCACTCTAGCCCGCCGCGTAGGACTATCGCATACCATAGTCCATAGAATCCTACGGGAAAATTTGCTTTCCCAACCATGTACAATGAGTGCAGGCCTTGTTACCAGAAGACTATCCTCGCAGACTAACATTCTGTCAATGGTTTTTGCACAAAAACATTGAAAATCCGGATTTTTTAAAAACATTCTAGCGACGGACGAATGTTCTTTTACGCAAGACGGGATATTAAATTTCCATAATACTCACACGTGGGCCCAAGCAAATCCTCATACCATTCGTGAAGGTCATTTCCAACAACTTTTTAAAATAAATATTTGGGCGGTTATTCTTGATGATCAGGTAATTGGCCCTTTCGAGTTTCCCCCAAAGTTGTTAGGAGAAGGATACCTTAGCTTTCTAGCAAATAACCTACCAGAACTTTTGGAACAGAGCTTAGACAACACGCCATTACAACGGAGACAGAATTTGTGGTTTCTTCATGACGGGGCACTACCACACATTTTTAGAGGCGTCGTTAAGTATTTGAATGAACATTATCCAAATCGCTGGATCGGTCGAATTGCTCCTGATCCTCGAAAATGGCCAGCAAGATCTCCTGACCTCAATCCGATGGATTTCTGGTATTGGGGAGAACTTAAAGGGATGGTTTATGGGGCTGGTCCAACTGAAGCACAACTTTGCGAAAAAAACTTTAATGCGGCTGAAATGATATATGGACAACTTCGAGAACCTAGGGTAAGAAGAAACTGGGGTCGTCGTAATGAAGCTTCTGTGAAAAGTGGAGGACGACATTTAGAACACCTTCTTTAAATACAAAAAAAGTGCAGTGTGGGTTTTAAAAAGAAAAACAACGTATGTATCAAAATTGTGTTCCCTATTTATAAGTGGATTTTTTAAATACGTTCAATAAACTTTCACACACCAGGTGAAGTGCTGAGACATGTACTGGTAAATCCGTTTTTTTAACTGTTTGCATTTTACGAGTACATTATCAAATAATGAAATAATACCTAAGAGCCAAAAAGAACAAACTTTAAATAATGACTATCATAACGTTTACACCCTGTATAATATTTTGAACGTATTCCACTAAAGATTTCAAAAATCCTTTCGTGTTTTTACGTCTGGCTTTACTATGAATGAATTTTCTATATTCTGTAAACTTTCATTTCAAAACTTACCATAGATCTGTTAGACGAGAATATGTATCCCAGTCCTAGGAATGCACATAATCCTGATATTGGTATTAGTCTACTTCTATTATCGTTTGTGTCAAATGCCAGATATGCTATTGTAGCTATCAGCAGCGATATATAAAAAATTATTGTTCCATACCTAAAAATTTCAAGTCGTCATAATAGATACTCCTACTAATTAGATAGGGATCAGTTATTTTTGGTCTCCTGTGTAGCTTTTAGAAAATATGAAATTTATCTGTCAAAAACTATACCTTCAAAGTTCAGGGAGTATGTAACATAAATTTAACAGACGAGTAATCTTAAGACAAAAAGTTGATATAAACATAGGTGCGCAAATTTTTCGTTCTCAAAAAAAAAAAATGGTTTTTCGTAAATTTCTTATTTACCTAGTTTTGTTGTAATTTAGCGGTGGTAGTTATAACAGGGAGCTAATTTAGCTTTAACTTGATTGAATTTATTAGATCCAGTGGCGTCTTGAGCGGGATCTGAACGAATATCTGTGACAAAAAATTATAATAGTAATAAAATATCATAAAAAAATAAAAGTTCCAAAAGAAACTTTTTCCCGTATTCCGTGTATGGTCCAGTGATATGCAATTAATTGAAGGGACAAATAAGTTGTATTTCTACTTGTTTAATCCAAAGAGCATAATAAAAATTGGACAAAAGTCAGTGGCGTACATTTTTTTGTCACAAATATTCGTTCATATCCCGCTCGTGACGCCCCTGGACTCAATAAGTATAATCAAGTTACGGCGAAATTAACTCCTTAATGTTTTAAATACTACCGCTAAATTACTACAAAATTAGGTAAAGGATATGTATGTTTACGGAAAATCTTTTTTTATTTTAACGCCCTGTATCTCGAGAACGAATGATTTGTGGACCAGGTTTATATGAACTTTTTGTCTTAAAATTCCTCAAAGAATTGTCTGTTGAATTTAAGGTACATACTTAATCAACACACACCCTTCTAAACATATTAGCAACAGACCGCATTGGTATCAAGGGTTTATAGGAGAAGATCAGGACCTATTAGGAACGGTTCAGAACTCCAAGTAGTAAATCATTGCTGCCAGTTAGAATCACATGTTTTTTTAAATATAGTAACATAGCAATGTCGTATGTGCTATCAACGTCTTTATTGCCTTTTTAGAGTCTATGCTCTCATTTTTTATTCATATTGATCAATAAATTTGTAATGTAGTATTGCTCTGAAAAACTCGGAAAAACTATCCAGGTGTTAGGTATTATGTAACAATGTGGCAATCGTTTTTAATGTGCAAATTGCATTGCATACCTAGCTTGAAACGTACGAGGGATGTTTTTAAAGTTTTGCAAATGGAAATAAAACAACACGGTAGGTAGTTTTAAATGACTTTATTGTTTTTCGAAGTATTCTCCACGAAGATTAATACACATCTGCATGCGCTCGAACCAATTTTCGAAGCACTTATTCCGCTCGTTTGCTGGTAGATCCAAAACGGCATTTTTGAATGCGTCAAGTGCTTCTTCTGGTGACTGGAACCTTTGACCACGCAGTTTGTTTTTAATTTTCGGGAAAGTAAAGATATCGTTAGGACTTAGATCGGGCCTATATGGAGGATGGTCCAGTAATTCCACGTTTTCTTCCGTTAAATATTGCCTTGTTTTTTGGGCTGTGTGCGAGCTTGCATTGTCTTTTTGGAAGATGATTCTTCTTTCGGGGTTGATTTTTCGAAGCTCGGTGATGACTTTTGGCAAACAAATGGTGGTATACCAATCCGCAGTAACAGTTCTTTGCTCAATAAGAGGAATTTTTGCAATATGACCCGCTGTTGACACAAATGTCGCGACCATCTTTTTCGAAACACTTCGAGAACGGATGCCTTTTGTTGGCTTTTCTTCGCGATATGTCACATGTCTATCTTCAATGGTGAGTTTGCGCACAGCATCGACGTCTTCCTGGGTGACTGCCGTTTTTGGTGCACCCACCTTGGGATCGTCGCTAAGACTCACCCGTCCACGTTTGAATTCTCCATACCAACGGGAAATTGTCGAATGATGTGGCGCTTCGTTGCGTAACTCAGCAAGGCATTCTTGTTGCGATAATTGTCTCTGAAAGTTGTAATGAATTATGGCGCGAAAATGTTCTCGGTTGAGTTTCATTTTTCTAATGACTTGGTGACACGTAAAAATTCACTGTAGTGAGAGCACGCACGTATTGTTGTGAAACTTTGAATTTAGGTTTACTAAAGAGTGAGGTTAAGATTCAGTACTGACGTTCGATCCGCGCGGCCTACTATGTTTCTAAATGCAAAACTTAAAAGACATCCCTCGTAAACCTTTTTGAGCGAGTACTTTCATAAAATGTACGACCTATGCGACAGGCTTCTTTATTTAAGTACATTATGCATAAAATGTTTCCATTATTGGCATAATTATCTCTAAATTCAGCTTTTCACATTGTCTCCGACAAGGGCGGATCCCGGTGCGGTCATGAGGACATGACCCCTAGTTTTTTTTGTTGCTTTGGCGACACCCCTCCCCCCTCTACCTCTTCAAATTTCAATCGTAGCGACCATCAATGCGTCACCCCTCCCCTCCCCCCCATAGCAGCTTGCTAAATTCTGACCAAGTCAATCTGACTTAAAACATGGATCCTCCATTGGTTTCGATTAACGCGTTTTAGGCTAAACTAATATGTAAATCGGCAATCATAGTTATGGTTTAGTATATATGTTACTGCAAAAGCCCGAACTGTGGTAAATCCTAAGATTTTCTGGTAAAACCTAAGATTTACCAACTCTCAATGGTAAAAGTCCGAACGTTCTTTTATTTCGAGCTTTTACCAGCATTTAATTGGTAAATCTTAGGATTCACCATAATGACACGATAAAAGTTCATAAAGACATGTGATAACGTGTTCAATAGCACTCCGTGTTGTAACAAATAACATTTTTCTTACTAAGTACCTAATAATTAATGACGATTGTCTTTTTTTTCAATTTGTTCGTAAATACCAAATTATAAGAAAAATACTGATACAGTGAGATTCAATTAGCCAACGTAAGCGTTATGTTTGTGAGAAGATATGATACACATAAATACATATGTAAGGTTCATAAATAAATATGTAATTTAAATAAATGATTAAGAATTACTCATTTTTTTATTCCCAAAACTAATATGTACCAGCCATCACTGGTAAAACCTAGCATATACTAAGTTCTAATAGTAAAAAATGACTTTTTCAATATTTACCGTGCCCTTGAGGTAAATCCTAAGATTTACCTAGCGAATGGTGGTAAAAGTTCGAAATAAAGTAACTGTTCGGACTTTTACCATTGAGAGTTAGTAAATCTTACGTTTTAGCGGAAAATCTTAGGACTTACAACAGTTCGGGCTAAGGTAACATATTTACTTTTGTTATAACTATTATTTATAATATCTTCTGTACTGAGATGAAATTTGGATTTGAAGCTTTGACCAAATGGTCTGCCTAACAACCAACCAAGGAGCTTGAAGAAGATACAGTGGAATCCACTGATAATGAACTTGCTTATAATGAAAACCCGTATATAATGGATACAACTTAAGGTCCTATTGTTAGTTTGTTCTTACTTGATACTATTCAGAAATGATACGGACGGCTGCCACACGGCCGTCTTCAGTGACGGCAAGACGTAAGGTTTCAACAGCTGGTTATACAAGAATCCGTAGAGGTATAAACTGTAGAGAATGACCAGGAAGCCATACCCATTGCAAGTAGTTGAGTTGAACACATCTATATTTGTATCTGAAAATAAATATCATATTTGTGTTATTGTCAAATTTTCTAAGGCATCTTGAACATAACACACTGCCAATGATAACGTATTTTAAGATACGTTAGTTGGGGATCTCACTGTAGGGCTTTCGTAAGACGAAGACCAAGACTTGGCCTGCAAGACCAAGACCAAGACTGTTTTGCAAGACTCTTACGGCTTTGCAAAAACTACTTGGCCAAAATATTGGCATGTGACAACTGCTAAATTGAATTTGTTGAGTGCTTCTAAAAAGTTAAAGTTTAACAAATTAAGAGAATAATATTTCTTGGAAGTACTAACTAAATAGTTGAAAAATTGTAGGTTATAAAAATCTATGGTTTACACCAACTTTGTCGCATACATTTCTACAAACTTATGTCTCCAATTTTTACGTAATTATTGTAATATTCTGTAACCTTATCGGTAGACAAATTTTTCTTATCTATATACATTACTGTGATTTTTTTACGATCTATGATCCCATGGTAAAATTTTGTCTATCTGTTAAATTTTGATCCAGATCAAATTAAGAACTTCTCTAGATGCATATTCTGAACACTTTTTTGCTTAATATAAGCACACTTTTATAAAAAACTAATTTTATAGAAATATTTATTTTAATCGATTATAGCAATTATACCTATATATGTAATCGGGAAAATTGTTGAGATTATTGTGAAAGAGAGATTAACAAGCTACAGCGAAGATAAATCTATATAATATGTAGCGCAATTTGGATTTCGAAAAAATTCAATCACAACAAAAGCACTTCTCACCTTACTAGAAGAAATACTGGATAATGTAGAAGATAACTCTAAAACTATAGCTACCATGTGTGACTTAACGAAAACATTTGATTGCGTGAATTCACATATACGTATACTTTTAAAAAACTAGAATTCTATAGTATAAGAAATACAGAGCTAGCGCTATTTCTTTCGTATTTGTTAAATAGGAAGCAGTTTGTAAGCTCTGAGGGCACCGCCTCTGACCTTTTGCCTATTTGCAACGGGGTGCCGCAAGGATCATTATGTGGGCCTCTGCTATTTCTAATATATATCAATGACCTGCCGTTGAGTATTGATAAAGGATCCTGCTTCCTATTTGCAGTCGATACCACCTTGCTGTCTAGACCTGACAAAAACCTAGCTGTGGATAATCTAGACCAAGCTAAAAGCCAAGAAGTTATCGCTAAATGAAAACAAGACATATCATATTACATTTAATTTGTAGAAATTCTTTGTTTCGTAGACGATACGGCAAATATTTACTCAGGCAAAGATTGGGCTTCTTTTAAAAACAAAATTGTATTAGATTGCGCAAGTGTACACTTTCTTGGGTATATTACATTCATTGGACACTGCCGTTTTTATTTATACGAAAATTTCATAATTATTATTTTCCCCTATCAGATGGGTTGTGAGATCTGAACCAGTAAAACTTCTAGGAATAGTACCCGATACCAGACTAAACTGATATTGATTATTTAAAATGTCTAAAAATAATAGATCTAACGTTAAATAATATAATTTATTCGTCAATGCAAATAAAGAACATAATTTCGAAAATATGTTTTAACGCTACTTCTCAAAGTGTACTAAAAATATTGCTTGACCATAGTTTCTATTCAGTTGATGTGTGATATTTTGCATCCTCTTCGTAACCAGAAATTCTGTGTCTAACAACGACTTTGATACTAACGGAATATTTTGTACGTATATTTTTTTCAAATATATACCAAATTCTAAATAGTTATTTGTCAAGCAGATGAATACATATGGTACATTAATGGTAATTAATAAAATATGGGACATTCCGTTTAAAGAACTTGACAGATTGAAACAATTTAACTGGAATGATCGATATTTTATTACAAAATCGGATATATCCTATATTCATACTATACAAATAATTTGTAGTTGAATTCTAAGCTATTCAATGTATTAAAACGCTCAACTTTGTGTCAGTCTGTCATTTTGAAAGGAGTGATTTTATATTCTTGGGTTATAAAGTAATCGTAAGCAGCTATATGATTATGTATCACACGACCTACCATACCGTTTGAAAAAATGTGTCAAGTTGACGCCCAACCGCTATTTCGAAATTGAAAACTGCCACTTTTACACTGAAACATTGTAATCATTAAACTTATCATCCCGAATTTCATCTTACTGACTAACTTGACCTGTTCAAAAGCTGAAGTGTAGAATTAGCAATCTGTAACTAATGATGGACATTTCGTGAAATATTTAGTTCAAAATTATTATGTCAAACTGTTGTGAAACACTGTTGGAACTTTGTGAAGCTCAAATTAGTCGGAAGCGATGCTCTTGTAACATGTAACAATTTTGTTTAGCTCCAAAAAATTCTGGTACGATCATTGGAAATGTATGATGAGGATATTTGGTAGTATTGGCTCTTACCCTCAGTATTCAAATAGTAGCACGTAGACCATATGAAATAGGCAGTAATAACTACAAATACTAAATAGCTTATCAGCTTGCTTCCATATTTGTCGATCCAGATTTTGAGCTCTCTCTTTTCTTCGGCTTTCTCAACATCGATCACTTTTTCGCCATTAACAGGAACTCTGTTGTCAATACTGTCAACCTCCTCCTGCTGAAAAAAGTGTTGATTTTTTCTAGAAAATGTTTCTTCTCATGTTGATATCATCTATCATAACTCTACACTTTACGAAAACCAGAGAAGATAACTCTAACGCTGTGAACTCAAACAATCCATATGAAATTGGACCCGTTGGGTCACAGGCAGGCGAAAGTGTTCATTAAAAAATGAATACTTGCATATACCGAGGACCTTCGCGGATTTAGTAGGAAAGTCATACGGGCCTACATACAAGGCTATGTAATTTGATGTATATGGGGATCGCAATAGATATGTGGGTCGATGTGGCGTTGAGACTAGCAAGCCAACCCCTTTTCTGTTATCTATAATCTGTTACATTATTAGACGTTAATACCCACATAATTTGGACAATCTGATAAAAACAATACAAGCGTGCTTTAAAGTCATTGGCCGGGACATAACTTTAATGCCCACTAAACAACTGCCGATTAGAATAAAGTGAAATGTGGAGGTATTTTACTTTAAAAATCAACAAGGGATCTGATGGAACACGAAGACGCTTGACGAAAAAAGTTAATGATAGTGAAATTGCAGAAGCGTTGAGGAATACAACAGCGGTTTTGCTATGATTGACGAAGTAAATTAGGTTACTTCCTGGTTCCAGGTTTTACTAACGCTCATTTCGTTTTATTTTTTGTTTTCGTACTGTGAATCCATATATCTTGTAGACGCCATATTGGATTTTGGCACAGGTGGATAGAATTTTTAATCTTATTTCCAACAATGTTGACACTGGCAGACCTATGTTATTAAGATTGAGATTCACCACCACCAATGTGTTTGAGATTTGCGAGCATTGAGATAATTTGCCGATCTATAGAATATAACAAGCACTATTTTAGCACGACGCAGGCGCTCTACGTAACACCTCAGCTATAGATTGATAGCATTTACTTACTCAAAAATGTATCTATCAGTTACATAAAATAATACTGTTTTCAATACGATCCTTGAATAACACGGACATGTTTTAGCAAAGGCTGTTCTTTGTTCGATGAGTCAAAACCATCTATAGGAAGGTTTTTTTAGTTTTTATTTTGAAACAAATTTAAAGAAAATGTAAAAAATTCTTAATGTCTGATGCTTTCTATAGTACGGATGAATTTCTCAGGCATACATTTTAAAACTCTTATTTTTTTGTTTGATGTCTGACTGTTTTTTTTCTTTTATTATTTTATTTTGATTGATTTGACTTATGTGTATTTGGACTATGCAAATACATATGTATACTGAGTGACATATAAATCCGAACACCCAGTTTAAACGGTTTTATTTTAATAAAAGTTGGTGAATGTATTTATCTTACTGTAAATAACAAGTGAAAAAATTTTCAGCCTTATCAGTTGGACATCCCGGTTTTTATACTGCTTTTTTTAATTCACTAACGCTCTAAAAATGAATATTTCAGCCGCAGTAAAGAATCAACGTTGCCAGATTTTGGTTCTTGACATCCTTTACGATCGGTTACGATGCCTAGAGTACGGATACCTGTACGATTTCGTCAATTTAGTGAGTTTGATAGGGGCCGTATAGTGGGACTTCGGGAAGCTGGTCTTTTTTTTCGGGCAATTGCAGTTAGAGTGCAAAGAAGTGTAGACACTGTGGTTAGGTGTTGTCAGGCATGGCTTCGAGAAGGCCGTACGCAAAGAGCAAGGGGCACTGGACGCCGCCGTAGAACAACAGACCGTGAAGATCGCCGCCTACAGTATATTCAGATAAGAGATAGACCGGATGTAAACAAAAGATTCGGGTGATTTTCACGCTAACGCCGCCGTCTCGACGTAAAACAGGAGCCCTCATTGGTCAATTCGCAATTAAATGCCTATGCCGAGCGGCAGAGCAGTCGTATCAAGGCAGAGTCACATTCAGGTTCAGACGTGTTACGTATGTCGTGTGCATCATTGCAATTTGATATTTCTTTGGACGTTTTCGTTTGTTATCTTATTAAGTTGTTGAGTTTGTCGTTGTTATTGTTATACCTTGTTATTGATTGTTATTGTTATCAACTGCTTGCGCAAAATGCCCAGTAGTACAGATACTGCCGATGAAGTTGTAAACTCCTGTAGTCCACCTAGGAAACGCTCTAAAAAAAGACACCTGAGTGCAGAAATGAAAGAGGTCATTTCGAATATATATAAGATCGAGCGCGAGGAGAACGAGGCATCAACCATCAAAGAAATTGTTGTGAAGGTTTCTCACAAAGTTGGGGTGTGTCGCGCATCAGTGTTTAATGTGTTAAGACAATACAAAAAAAAATCACACCTTTTCTGAGCCAATGACCGGTAAACATCGCAAAAGTATTGTTAAATCATTGGATGAAGCTGATAAGCATGCGATTAGGAGGAAAGTGCATGAATTCTTCTTTAGGAATGAAATACCTACTATAGATAAAGTACTGCAGGAGGTAAATGGAGATACAACGTTGCCAAATTTCAAACGATCAACTTTCCATGCGTTACTGAAGCATTTAAATTTCAAATGGAAAAAACGGGGTCGTAATAGTTTACTACTGGATAGAGAAGAAATTGTGCTATGGAGGAGGGATTATTTAACAAAAATTGGGAAATATAGAAATCAAAACAGGAAGATTTATTACCTTGATGAAACGTGGGTAAACGCAGGACACACTACAAGTAAAGTATGGGTTGATGATTCTGTAACTTCATCCAGGAGGGCCTTTCTAGATGGACTGTCCACCGGATTAAAAAATCCAGCAGGTAAATACGAGTAATAGACAACAATCGGATGTTTTTCAAACCTTGGGAACAAGGTTCTAAACATTAATTCCAGGGGGCAGATAAAACATATTACAAGTAACAAAACTTTTATAACTTTCGATAAAATGCGTGGATGTTTTATTGTCATTTTCATTTGTTAGAACTTTTTTAAGCCATGTTTTTATGTGTTTTCGATATTTCAATAATTTTTTAATATAATCTTAAAATATGTCGAATATTATAAACTTAAAAAAAGTTACTAAGTTTTATATTGTGTACCGTTCCTAATATTTCTAATCATTTTAATTCATACTTTAAGCTTTATAAAGTTATAATTTGTTAATATTAATATTTGCGCGTATTTCAGGTTCCTGATCATTCATTTTTTAAAGGTTTATAACTTTAAATTAAATTGTGAAGCGCTGAGTAATCATACGACGTTCAACATTCTTTCTTTCAGTAAGACTAAATAATCCCAATTATAGCAATCTGATACTCATGTCTCAATGTTTTTTCGCTGAATGTGATGAAAACATTTGAAAAAGGTTCGCTTATTGAAATAAATCTACACCAGTTAGTACTTCGATTTCCAGGTAGAGGGAAAAGGCTCATTATCTGTCATATTGGCAGTGAGGATGGATTTGTTGTTGACGTTCTGTGGTGCTTTGAGTCTAAGAAAACTGGAGATTACCACGAGGAAATGAATGGCGAATCGTTTGAACAGCGGTTTTCAAAAATTTTACCGACCTTAGAGGAAAACGCAGTAATTGTGATGGATAATGCGCCTTATCATTCTCGAAGAATGGAGAAGGTCCCAACAACGGCTTCAAGGAAAGTTGATGTTCAAAATTGGCTCCGCTCGAAAAATATCAACTTTGAAGAAGCAATGCTGAAAGTACAATTATTAAGAATTGTCAAGGATCACAAGGCGGAATATCAAAAATACGCCATTGACGAAATGGCAGCAAGTCAAAATAAAACTGTGCTCCGTTTACCTCCATACCATTGCGAGCTCAATCGCATTGAGCTCATATGGGCAGAGGTTAAAAATTATATAGCTAAGCACAATACAACTTTTAAATTTTGTGACCTCAAAGGACTTTTCAAAGAAGCACTAGAATTAATAACAGCGCAAAAATGGGAAAACTGTATTAAGCACGTGAAAGACAAAGTTGAAAAGAGAATGTGGGAACTGGACAATATTTTAGAGGAACAAGTCGAGCCATTCATTATTGACGTTGGTGCTTCAGGCAGTAGCGATGATGAAAGCTCATCAAGCTCATCTTTCCAATAACAGATGTCGTTCATCAAATTCGGTAAGTTATAAGTAATTATAAAGCTACTGTATTTTTTAATTAATTATTGACATTTTTGAACCCATTTTGGCAAAACCTATTCAAGAATCTACTTTCTGACAATGTTCAACCATGCACATTTTTTTACGTTTTGAACGTTTTAATTTGGTTACATATTTACCTAGAAATCAAAAAATATACTAATCAATATTCTAAAAGCAATTTTAAGAGATATACGATTATTTTTAATTTAGGCTAATTTAAACGCCATTTTGAGATTATATTCGACTGTATTTCACCAAACATCAGCCGGCATCCGAAGCTGGAAATCGAAGCGAAAATTTTGAAACCCTTATGTATATTTACATCATTATATATTTCTTACCCCACCCCCACATGATCCTATATCCATCACCAATCGTATACACATCGAATTGTGCTAATTTACTACAAAGTTACGCAAAGCAGCATCTACTATCTAAAATATGTACTGCGTGACTCTTAATACGTCCCTGCCGAATGTTACAGCGTTCGATGATCACGTGGTCTTGTTTATGTCCGGTCTATCTCTTATCTGAATATACTGTAAGATTATTGGCCTTAAGGGACCGTTTCTCCAATACCAGGTCCATTGCAAATGAATGGTTTGCAGAACACGGAAGACCTATTGGCATGCGAAGTGTTTACCGACGAGTGAGAAGTTTTCGCTTGTTTTCATACCGGCCACACTGGGTCCTCCCTTTAACTCGAGAACACCGACGTAATCGCCTTGAGTGGTGCAGACAACGGTGACTCTGGGATCAGGAATGGAACAGTATTGTCTTTAGTGACGAGTCTCGATTTTGTTTAGGCATGCACGATGGTCGTGCCAGGGTTAGAAGGCGACGTGGTGAAAGGAGGAATCCACAGTTTTTTGTTGAAAGACATGTTCATCACACTGTTGGAGTTATGGTTTGGGGTGCTATAGCTTATGGTTCCAGGTCACCTTTAATCTTCATCAGAGGTAACATGAACGCGCAGCGTTATATCCACGAAGTTCTAGAACCCCATCTTTTACCCTATCTTGACACCCTGGCAGATCCAACTTTCCAACAAGATAATGCCCGACCACATGTTGCAAGAGTCACAATAGACTTCTTTCAACATAATGATGTCAGATTGTTACCATGGCCACTAAGATCTCCCGACTTATCCCCAATTGAGCACGTGTGGGATACGATGGGTAGGAGATTGCTCAATTTGCAACGTCCTCCTCAGACTCTAGAAGCACTTCAAGAGGAGTTGGTGGTTGCTTGGAATGAGATACCACTGGAGGACATTGACCACCTGATCAGAAGCATGCATAGGCGCGTTGGAGAATGCGTAGCACATCAGGGTGCATCCACACATTATTAAAGGTCAAAGGGCTTTAAAGCAGTGCAATCATTTTGAAATTTTTATCATTCACTTATTATGCTTCATTAAGTACTTATACAAAATTTTATTAAAATAAAACCATTTAAACTGGGTGTTCGGATTTATATGTCACTTAGTATATATTGGCACCAATAAATTTGAATTTGAGAAAATTCTGTATCTGTCGTCTATCTTCGAAAATAATCTGAATTACAAAATTTTTGGAGCGTCATTTTCTGAGTCACATCAAGGCGCAATTTTGTCCCCATTTAACTGACTCCGTATCTCGTACAGTTTCCGAGATCCCAAATGGTGAGTGTCGAATTTGAAACACCCCCTACGGTATCTTGTCGTACCACCTCACCGTCAAGTACTTGAGGAAGCACTGTTTGTATTTTAAAAAAAAATGAGACTTGACTTTCGGGATTATCCTCGTATTTTCACCCGTTTGTCTTTATAACATTTTCCAGACCTTCGTTAACGACCTGGCAAAGTAGTCAAAATGACGATTATTTCCCTCCCTCAATGAACATAAATGTCAATATCACGACACTAACGGTCCGGTACAATAAAAAATGGAATTAACGCCAATAATGTCAATGTCCAATCATCGTGTTTGCCCGTAACAGATAGTGGTTTGTTCGTACAGTGGTCGGTGACTTGTTGGCGACTGTGTCTGGTATCCGGCCGTGTAAATTCTGCCTTAAGAGTGTAGCAGAATGAACGGAATTTGTGTGGCGGGATCTTTAACACGATCACTGACAGGTTGGTGACAAATGTACGAACGGGGATATAAAAAAATCGTACTTACTTTACTGAGGATGGTTTCCGTTGAGCCGTTCATTTCGAGTTACAGATGAAATCTGAAATAAGTCAAATTATGTAACTATAATAAATTAGTTTATCTAATCTGTGCTTGGTTATATCCGCCAATAAGGGCTTATGCTGATGAGATTTTGAGAAAAAAATCAATCATTTCTGATAACATTATTTGCTACCTAAAAATTACACAAAATTATTATCTCCAATATGCTTTGAACGAGAGTTTATATTAATCGTGTATGCGCCATTCCAAAACGAATAAGCTTAGGAATTATCGTCAAACACGTTTTTGTTTTTCAGTCTATACAGTATGGTCCAAAAAAGCAGTGGCAAAATGCATAAGACAAAGAAAATATTCAAATATAACACGGAAACCCCATTCAAACAGGAAAACTGAACTACAAACAATTTTTGTTGTTCAAAGTACACCATGGCGTTGAAATAGGCATATTTTGACCCCTTCAGCAAACTTCATGGAAAACCTGTCAATTTTTTGAATGAGATATTTAATTAAATACCCTGCTCATGTTTTTGTCAATACTTTAGTTATTGAAAACTGGAATTTTTGCTGCTATTTGAAAGACAGCAAAGATGTGTTCAGTCCACTTTCGCAGTGGTCGATTCTGGTAATAGATGTTACTTTGTGCTTTTGAAACGGCCATTTACTCTTTATTCTTTGAAAATGTTTAAAACCTAATTCCAACATTACAGCATGGCTTCATGAAAGATAGATCGAACACGTCAAACTTAATGACAGTCACGCAACTTATAGCAGAATTGATAAAAAATAAACAGGTTGATATTATTTACATTGATTTTAGAAAAGCTTTCGATGAGTTAAACCATCATCTTTTAGAAGATAGCCTTCATTACTTCGGTCTTAGGGACGTTAGCCAGTCTCCTGACTTCATATCTTTCCGAAAGAACGCAATATATTTCTTATAATGATTATTGCTCAACAGATTATGCTGTTTCCTCTGGCGTGCCGCAGGGATCGAAGCTATCAATGCCTTTTGCAGTATTTATTCTTCAATAGCCTAACCGCTTCACAATCTACTATTTGCGACGATCTGAGAATCTACGGCAAAATTACAAAATTACAAAATTGTATTTCCCTCCAGGAGCATCTAAGTACTATCACACAATAGTGTGACAATAATCTCTTCTTAAACATTTCCAAGTGTAAGGTTTGTCCATATAACTGCAAAATGGAGCCGTATTCGTGTGACGTAGCTTAAAAAGCGACATTATATCGATTTTTATAACATATAGGCTTTTTTGACATTATGTAGGTTGTTCTATGAGATTGCAACTTTGAACTAGCGGACACTCACTTCATGCTCACTTCTATTAGGCGCAGAATGTCCTAGCGGCACAATAATGGCTTCCTAGTGGACAAGTTGACATTTTACCGATTTTTTTTTTTAATTTAATTTAATTAAAGCTTTCTTTCAATAAATGTTCAAAAAGACCACCTATCTGACGGGTACAAGTGTGGCATCTTTTTAATAAAGAAAAAACGTATTTCCACAAAATTTGATGAAATGCATTATCTGTTCTTTTTTGTAACTGATCAAAAGTGTTAATTTGTTCAGCATACACTAGTTGTTTAAAAGCTCCTAACAAAAAGAAATCCAGGGAGTTCAAATCAGGAGACCTCGCAGGCCAATGTAAGGGTACCGTTCTGCCAATCCATCGTTGCCTAAAATGATTATTTAACCATGCGGAACATCATCTAACACATTTTCTTTGTAATTCTCTAGAAAAACTAAGTACAAGTTTGCATTTAAACGTAGTGGCATTACTTTCATAAACAATTGGCCTTTGAAAATGCCGCAGCAGACATTTCTAGAAAGTCTGTGTTGAAACGAGTGGAACGGGGATTTTCTAACGACAAAATATACTAAGTGACATATAAATCCGAACACCCAGTTTAAATGGTTTTATTTTAATAAAAGTTGGTGAATGTATTTATCTTACTGTAAATAACAAGTGAAAAAATGTTCAGCCTTATCAGTTGGACATTCCGGTTTTTATACTGCTTTTTTTTAATTCACTAACGCTCTAAAAATGAATATTTCAGCCGCAGTAAAGAATCAACGTTGGCGGATTTTGGTTCTTGACATCCTTTACGATCGGTTACGATGTCTAGAGTACGGAGACCTGTACGATTTCGTCAACTTACTATAGTGAGTTTGATAGGGGCCGTATAGTGGTGCTTCGGGAAGCTGGACTTTATTTTCGGGCAATTGCAGTTAGAGTGCAAAGAAGTGTAGACACTGTGGTTAGGTGTTGTCAGGCATGGCTTCAAGAAGGCCGTACGCAAAGAGCAAGGGGCACTGGACTCCGCCGCAGAACAACAGACCGTGAAGATCGCCGCCTAAGATTATTGGCCTTAAGGAACCGTTTCTCCACTACCAGGTCCATTGCAAATGAATGGTTTGCAGAACACGGAAGACCTATTGGCATGCGAAGTGTTTACCATCGAATGAGAAGTTTTGGCTTGTTTTCATACCGGCCACACTGGGTCCTCCCTTTAACTCGAGAACACCAACGTAATCGCCTTGAGTGGTACAGACAACGGTCACTCTGGGATCAGGAATGGAACAGTATTGTCTTCAGTGACGAGTCTCGATTTTGTTTAGGCATGCACGATGGTCGTGCCAGGGTTAGGGAATCCACAGTTTTTTGTTGAAAGACATGTTCATCACACTGTTGGAGTTATGGTTTGGGGTACTATAGCTTATGGTTCCAGGTCACCTTTAATCTTCATCAGAGGTAACATGAACGCGCAGCGTTATATCCACGAAGTTCTAGAACCCCATCTTTTACCCTATCTTGACACCCTGGCAGATCCAACTTTCCAACAAGATAATGCCCGACCACATGTTGCAAGAGTCACAATAGACTTCTTTCAACATAATGATGTCACATTGTTACCATGGCCACCAAGATCTCCCGACTTATCCCCAATTGAGCACGTGTGGGATATGATGGGTAGGAGATTGCTCAATTTGCAACGTCCTCCTCAGACTCTAGAAGCACTTCGAGAGGAGTTGGTGGTTGCCTGGAATGAGATACCACAGGAGGACATTGACCACCTGATCAGAAGCATGCCTAGGCGCGTTGGAGAATGCGTAGCACATCAGGGTGCATCCACACATTATTAAAGGTCAAAGGGCTTTAAAGCAGTGCAATCATTTTGAAATTTTTATCATTTACTTATTATGTTTCATTAAGTACTTATACAAAATTTTATTAAAATAAAACCATTTAAACTGGGTGTTTGGATTTATATGTCACTTAGTATATGTTCATTATGAGAATTAAAGGCTCCAGTCGTCGTAAAAAGCGATTCATCTGATCATAAAACCAAATCAATGAAATCTGCATTTTTATTATGCATTTTCAGTAACCACACACAAAAATTTCGCCGTTGCACTCCGTCGCCGGGTTGCAGACATTGCACTTTTTTCCGATGGTAATGATGTAAAACTTTCCGATTTAAAATTCTCCGCGCAACACTTTGGGAACATGGTAATTGGGCTGAAATCCGCCTAGTACTTGCACTAGGATCATCCGACGCCAAATTAATCACATCCAGTTTCTCTGGAGCAGTATGCCGGATACCGTGGGCTCTAACTCCGGGAAGTTTGGCGATCCATATTGCCGAAGTCTTAGAAATGAACCCTTTCAGGTAAGTTGGCGTCTGTTAGGAAATCTACGTTGATACTCCCGAGGAGCCGCTAAAGCATTTCCATTACAGAACCCGTACACAAAAATATTATCGGCGAACTCATCATTGCTAAATTCCATTTCTCAACACTCTTTCACAAACAACTTTTAGATGAGTCAATGTCTTCAAAAATTTCCATAACTTGTTGTTTACCGTTCCTGATCACCTTGGGGACTTTTTGAAAAAATAGGTGACTTAGGGGACTAGCTTTTTTCTTAGCGCCTCACTCCACCATCATCATGGGGAAAATCTACGACCCACAACTAGTACAATGTTATTATGTTGAATGATATCTACGAAGTTCCGGAAAAATACAATAAAATACCTTTTAGGTAGCATCACAATTGAATTTAACTAACGAATTGTTTTTTCTTATCACAACTTGAGAAGCAAACCTTTTAAATTTATGTAAGGAGTTCGAAATCTCACCTATCATCCTGGTCATTCGTAAAAGTACTATGTATTTCCAAAGTTTTAGTAAAACATTCACTATCACTATCACAATATTTTTAAAAGGTAAATTTTTGCGGATCAAATAGGCATTGAAATAGGATGGACTGTCTTTAGCATTACAAGCAGACGGTTTGAGAAATACTGACACGAACTATATTCTATATGAATTTGTTCCACTTATGACACTGAGTACGTATACTTGAGGTGAATAATAAATTGATATATCAACGATATAACCGAGAATGTAAAAATTCAATGGCCTTCTCACAGTAGTTAACAATTTTCATGAATATCGTTACATTGAAACACATTACTTCAAAGCCTGATATTACCGTATCTTCAACAAGATAGCTTCAATCCTGTTAAAATTATTATTATTGATATAAATAGCCCATTACTAGCAAGAAATGATTTTAGGTGGAGTAGGTATTAGGTATATTGCAATAGAATTGAATCGGTCATCCAAAAAACCTCATAAATCGTGTGCCATCGACAAATAAACCAGTTCTAAAGAACTTAATATAATTTGAGTTTTACAAGATTGAAATGTCGAATTTTTCTAGCAGTTTTTTAACAATAATAATGGAAAGAGTTCGAAAAACTGGGCAATAAACCCCTATTTCAGAAGTATCCAACACGTTTTGACGTCTACTGAGGTGAACAGCTGATCAGCAAGTGACATTTTTCTGTAACGTTAGCATGATTTGGGTGTAAATCTGGTAAAACTTGCTTGTAGCGTTTTCTTGCATGAACTTTTCTAAATAAAATAGTTGTTAGCAAATAAAAAATGAATCTGTAGCGTACAAAAAGCCAAAACAAAATACAGCTCTGTCTACCCGTCGGCTAGCGTTATGTGTCATTTGTAGATTTAGGCAATTTTGAAATACTTTTGGATAATCGGCTTTTCGTCTACCGTAATGGACACTCGTGGAAAAGGCAATAGAATCATATTGATTATATCTTTTATTACTTATTGTTGAAAATTGCTCTCAAATATTGACCTATTAACATGTCAAATGTTTTATTTTTGCATTTTTTAATATCTTTAAGGTACACAGTGTAAACGCAGGCAAAGCGAACACTCCAAAAAAATCGAATATCCTGTTTAAGACCCAAACTATGAATCCGCATCATGAAAAAGTATACTAAGTGACATATAAATCCGAACACCCAGTTTAAATGGTTTTATTTTAATAAAAGTTGGTGAATGTATTTATCTTACTGTAAATAACAAGTGAAAAAATTTTCAGCCTTATCAGTTGGACATTCCGGTTTTTATACTGCTTTTTTTTAATTCACTAACGCTCTAAAAATGAATATTTCAGCCCCAGTAAAGAATCAACGTTGGCGGATTTTGGTTCTTGACATCCTGTACGATCGGTTACGATGCCTAGAGTACGGAGACCTGTACGATTTCGTCAACTTAGTGAGTTTGATAGGGGCCATATAGTGGGACTTCGGGAAGCTGGACTTTCTTTTTGGGCAATTGCAGTTAGAGTGCAAAGAAGTATAGACACTGTGGTTAGGTGTTGTCAAGCTTGGCTTCAAGAAGGCCGTACGCAAAGAGCAAGGGGCACTGGACGCCGCCGTAGAACAACAGACCGTGAAGATCGCCGCCTAAGATTATTGGCCTTAAGGGACCGTTTCTCCACTACCAGGTCCATTGCAAATGAATGGTTTGGAGAACACGGAAGACCTATTGGCATGCGAAGTGTTTACCGACGAATGAGAAGTTTTGGCTTGTTTTCATACCGGCCACACTGGGTCCTTCCTTTAACTCGAGAACACCGACGTAATCGCCTTGAGTGGTGCAGACAACGGTCACTCTGGGATCAGGAATGGAACAGTATAGTCTTTAGTGACGAGTCTCGATTTTATTTAGGCATGCACGATGGTCGTGCCAGGGTTAGAAGGCGACGTGGTGAAAGGAGGAATCTACAGTTTTTTGTTGAAAGACATGTTCATCACACTGTTGGAGTTATGGTTTGGGGTGCTATAGCTTATGGTTCCAGGTCACCTTTAATCTTCATCAGAGGTAACATGAACGCGCAGCGTTATATCCACGAAGTTCTAGAACCCCATCTTTTACCCTATCTTGACACCCTAGCAGATCCAACTTTCCAACAAGATAATGCCCGACCACATGTTGCAAGAGTCACAATAGACTTCTTTCAACATAATGATGTCACATTGTTACCATGGCCACCAAGATCTCCCGACTTATCCCCAATTGAGCACGTGTGGGATATGATGGGTAGGAGATTGCTCAATTTGCAACGTCCTCCTCAGACTCTAGAAGCACTTCGAGAGAAGTTGGTGGTTGCCTGGAATGAGATACCACAGGAGGACATTGACCACCTGATCAGAAGCATGCCTAGGCGCGTTGGAGAATGCGTAGCACATCAGGGTGCATCCACACATTATTAAAGGTCAAAGGGCTTTAAAGCAGTGCAATCATTTTGAAATTTTTATCATTTACTTATTATGCTTCATTAAGTACTTATACAAAATTTTATTAAAATAAAACCATTTAAACTGGGTGTTCGGATTTATATGTCACTTAGTATACATAGGCTTGTTCGTTAAAACGTCTTCCATATCCAAAATCGGTTGTTGAAGTACACACGTGCTTATTTGACTACCAGACAGCAAAATGTACTTTTTCGGAGAAAAAAAAAGAATTTTTCAAGATAAGCTTACATGGAGTTAATAAACTATGTAGACAAACTTTAACCATCGAATCCTTGATCAATTTGAAGACGAAATTTTCATATGAACATGGGTTCACAACGGTTTTCTTTTCAAGCTAGAGCATATTAGCACTAAAAGAAATGATGATATTGTTCCAAAAAATTATAAAAGAATGGAACGTATTTTATTTTATTCAGTATGCTCTGTGGTGAATAGCACATGATTTACAGTTGTTTTCAGACCCTGCATGTACGCAGGATAATGTTATCGAGTATTTTTTGAAAAAATAGCATGACATTGATTTGTTTTGATCGCGATACTTTTAATATTTAAGCGTTGTACTTATCTAGGCACCTATGACGTACCCGAAAACAATTGAATTAATTTTCTCAAATAGTTCGACAGCTGTCAAATATTTGTTTTCTTGTCTGGTCATTCTAAGACTCCAAATATTTCTAAGTTTCGGTGATTAGTAATTGCGATAATGCTCCAGTTCGGTAATCAAGAAATGACAGATATGCAGTTCGTTTACGGAATGGCTCTGGGTAAAGCTCGACGAGCACGACGTTTGTATGGTGATCGATTTCCACAACGCCCTCTGCCTAATGTACAAACTTTCATCAACATTCACGCTCGACTATGTGAAACAGGCATCCAGACACGTCTCAGGAAGACCCGCAAGTGTAAGAACCATCCAAATCGAATAAGCTGTGCTTAATCAAATCGAAGAGGAACCTACAAGTACACGAAAAATTGCGCAACAGCTAGATTTAATCTTTATCCATATCATGTGTCTAATCGCTTTTGCCTCGAGATTTGCCTATAAGAATTGCAACTGGTTACGTGAAAAAGTAACATTATATCAATTTTTTTTAAATCGCACACTATTCACTGATGAAGCATGTTTTCCGCGAACAGCAATAATAACTTTCCATAATAACCATGTATGGTGTAAAGAAAATCCCCATTCCATAATTGAACATAATACGCAACACGACTTTTCCTTCAATATTTGGATTGGAATTTTGGAATTTGACCTACCTGGATTAATGGAACGACATCGCGAGAATACCTAGATGATAATTATTGGATTGGAAGAGGCGGACCACATCCATGGCCGCCTAGATCGTCAGACATGAATCCTATCGATTTCTTTTTATGGAGACATTTGAAATCATTAGTATACAAGACTGCTGTTCAAAGCGTGGAGGAGGACTTAAGGCCCGTATCGTCAGTCGTCCCTACAATTGTAGGGCGCCTTTATGGCCTCCTTGATTGTCATAGTTTTCTATTTTTCCATGTCAATGCTCTACTTTGAGGTTATGTCACAAACATCTATTTCCATCAAATTGTGCTTGCTTTTTAGTTATATCATGTTTTATCAGCCTGAAATTTCCTACAATTTAAAAGGAAAAAATATCTTCACAATAGGAGAGCGCTGACGCTGACACGGGACAAGTTTAATCTAGAAATTTTTGAAGGAGAAAAAGGAGTATGACAATCAAGGAGGCCATAAACGCGCCCTACAATTGTAGGGACGACTGACGATACGGGCCTTAGAGTCAGAATTGGCGAATCATGTCTGACTATACAAAATACTCCGGGTATTTTCAGGAGAGTTCGTCAGTCGATGTGTAACAGACTAAACTGAATCCAAATTGAAGATGAGATGTAAATAATAACAGTTAGCGCGTGATCTCTCGGTAACAGGTGGGGACAACGCCTCTTATTGGTCAATTCACCATTAAATTTCAAGCGGTCGCCTGGCGGAATAATGCGCGGGGCAGGGGCAGGGCAGGAAGAGTTGCATTCAGGCCACCGACCGTCGCGTGTATCACTGCGTGCTCGTGTTTTCGTATTCACCTTGCTTGGTTGTTGCTGTTGTTGTTGTTAAGTGTATTTGAGTAATTTGTTAAGTTTCTGTTTGTTATTGTTATTCCTCGTTATTATTTGTTTTGAACCAATCCTGAACATGTCCAGTACAGATACTGCTGACGAGGCTGTAGGCTACTCCCTTAGCCCTCCTAGAAAGCGATAAAAAAAAGACATCTTAGTGTAGACATGAAAGACGTCGTATTGGATACATTCAAGATAGAGCGGAAGGAAGACGAAACAACAACTAACCCGAAAATAGCTCTGAAAGTGGCAGATAAAATTGGGGTATGCCAAGCGACAGTGTAGAATGTTTTGAACGAACATAAGAAAAAGCATGCCTTTTCCAAGCCAATGACGGCTAAAAATCGCAAAGGTATCATAAGATCGTTGGATGACGCTGACAAGCATGCGATTCGGAGGAAAGTGCACGAGTTCTTCTTCAGAAACGAAATACCGACAGTTGATAAAGTACTACGGGAGGTTAACGAGGATGCTATGTTACCAAATTTCAAACGTTCGACTATTCATAAACTTTTGAAGCATCTTAATTTCGAATGGAAGAAACGAGGTCGTAACAGCTTACTTATGGATAGAGAAGCAATTGTTCTGTGGAGGAGAGAGTACCTGACCAAAATTAAATCATTCAGGAATCAGCACAGGAAGATCTATTACCTGGACGAAACCTGGATTAACGCTGTGCACACTACTCTGAAGGTATGGGTTGACAAAACTGTGACTTCATCCAGAAGGGCATTTCTAGATGGACTGTTGGCCGGATTGAAA